AAATATAGTAATTAAGATTTGTGTTATATCGATTGTGTAGCTTAAGTAATTTTTCATTACTAACATAAGATTTAATAAGTATAAGTAGTTAAAGATTCTAACTTGGCACTAGTCATTAGCATGTAATTGAACTAGTAAAAAAGATCAGTTAAAGCTATGTTGATTACCACCTTATCTTTGAAAGGCAATTAAAGACCTCAATCATTGCAACAAGATTTGATTGTGCAGCCTTTATTGGACATTGATCTTTCCGCAAAGTGCAGTTACATTTTCCATTAATTTACAGTAACACAGTTTAACTCTGATACCCTAGACTGTTGACCCAGGTTAGAAGTAATGCTAAGTACTTGTTTAGGTTAAGATGCCCCCAAACATCATTACTGTCTGAATGTTAAGTGCTGAAAAAAAAGTAGATACTTGATCCACTAGCTTTAGGATACAGTTTCTATTATCTACATTAGCTTTCAGGTGAAGTGGAACCTAGATCCTTGCCTTGTATGTCATCACACTCATTTAAACACCATTCATTCTTTAATAGATAAGAGATATTTCACAAAGACAGATGTTCTGTGCTTACAGTTTCAAGTGAAAATAAATATGACATGAAATAAAATATACATTGTAAAAGAAATAATATGGTTGCTAATAATTTTAAACATTTCTGTTTTTACTGACTCCAACAATTACTAAGCTATTAAATTAGTGGTCAAATATGTCACGGAAGAAAATACACCTGTATACCCAGTTTGCACACATGAGCAGTGAGAGGCAAGGCATTTTTTTTATCAGTAAACTTTTTCACAGCCCCAACTGTTACCTCCTCTTCATGGTAGTAGACAACTTACACAAGGAACTAAGAATGTTGTCTAGAAATTTCTTCCAATACTTGACAATTGAATCATAAGTAACTGTGGAAGAGATGCAAGGTTTTGCACTAAAACCAAATAATCTTTACAAAATAGTTTTGCCTGGATTATTTTAATGACAGAAACCACGTGAATAATTATTGGCAGGAAAGCTGTCTTTGGTTGTATCATCAACTAAGAGAACTCCTCATATCTAGAGGGGCAGGGTCCACTTAGAATTCCCCTTGCTACCACCAGCCACTCCTTGGAAGGAAGGTTGGGCAATCTATTTCGGTAGTGACACTGCCTCGGAAACCCAAGGAAGGGTCACTCTGAGTCGGTTCCAACTCCACGGCACAAAGCAATCACCACCACCTCAGGAATAACGGGCATACATAAACACACTCACACAGAATGAGTTCAGTCTCTCTCCTTCCCTCATCTTGTTTTTGGAATCCTTTTATTAATGAAGTCCTTCAAGAAATATATATGTATGGCACAGAGGAGAAGATTGAGGAGTACAAAAACAAGAGCTTTTACTGAAATAAAAGTAAAACTGATGTTTGCTTACAGGCATATTCACAATACATTTTAAGGTTAAAGTTCCTTGTTTTGTTCTCAGATTACAATTGGAAAAAAACTAAGGCACAAAGGAGTAAAGTTATTAGATTTCAGTCAAAAGTAAGACAACGCTAATCCATCTGTTGACTTCTCTAGCACAATGCTTAGATGTAATATCCAACTTTACAGAAAAAACTTAAACCATTATTGTTCAGTAGAGAGCATTTCCCAGGCCAAAAGGTTCACTAAAAACTTTACAAAGTCCAGTGAATGATACTTTAATATTTAATCCATGCCCTTAACCATCGTTCAGTTCATTCTTCACCATGATCATCAACTCCATGAGAGCAAGAGGTCTATTGATTTTCATGTAATACAAGAAAATATTACATTTGCTTAATTGTTACAGTGAACACATCAGACAAGAAATCAAGGTTCTATTTAATGCTGCAAGCAGCACAGAATTACAGAGATCAATACAGTAGTTTGTCAAAGATGTTCTCCAAGGAGACTTACCTATCACTGTATGGACAAGAAGTCACACCGACTGTAGCTATTGAAAAACAAGTAAGCAGAGTCAGCAGTACAAATTATTAGAAATCAAACAGGCTGGTGTGAAAAGAGGTGCAACTCTACTGAAAAGCTGTATTTATAGTCTGGTAATTAAAAACCATTTTATCAGCCTTGTGTTGGGACCAAACCTTTACAGCAAGTATTGACAAGACCAGCAGCAATGAATGAGCAGTATTTGACTTAAAACTTATGAGCTATAGTTATTTAACTTTGCCAATTACAGAGGAAATCAGTTCTAGCCTTCCTTGCAAAATGCTAATAGTCAGTTTTATTATTAATGAAGCTTAATGTAACACTAACTCCTTTCTGTAAACCATTCATTTAACTAGTGTCAAGTATATTCTTCTGGACTAAATATATTGGCATGAGTACTTCTTTGATTAAAGTGTTATTTAGAATTGCTTTCAGACAAGTGAACACTACATATATTTGAACAGTTCACTCTGTGTAACTCATTTAAAATGACTAACAAAGCCAGGTTTTTTAACTTCATTGTTCTGGTGTTTTCACTTTAATCACTTCTACTCACTCTCTACTGACTTGCTAGGAGTAACTATCCAAATGTGGGTTAGATTGACTTTTGTAATAAATTTTGCTACAAAAATGTGTAAATGTTGCAGAATATCAATACATTAACATAAAATGATATATAATGCATGTTTATAATTATAGGAGAGATCATAAATCTTAAACACCCATTGGTTTAGAAATTAAATAACTCTACAGTCATGCATTACTTAATGTCCGCGATTTGTTCTGTGAAATAGGATGCTATGTGATTTGGACATTGGCAAACACCATGTGTGTGCACCATATCACCGTCTGGTCTTGCTTTTTCTTTAAGCATCTTGAACAAGCTTTACACCTTAGCAGTGATCCCAAACATGCTGAGAGAGATTGGCTTTTGTGTTTGTCAATCCACACCATTTGTAATTTTTCCATATCTGATATAGGTCCTTCTGGCATTTTTGTTAGCCTTGTAGCTTTCAGTAGAGTTGGTTCTTTAACAGCTTGGAGAATTTTTTGTTTTTGAGGATTGTTGTGTGTGACATGCCTATATTGTGAGCAATAGCATTCTCTGATTTCCTGCTTCTTATTGTTGAATAATCTTTTGTTTCACTTCCGAACCAATTCTTCTCCTTTACCTCTGCTGCTGCTATCATCAGCACTGGTTTTGCTGTGTTTGAGAGCCATGATACATTCTTTGGTATTATTTTCAAAAGAAAATTAAGCAGAGACATAACACTCATGAAATGCGAGATAACGGATTGGATGCTGCTGCCTCAGAGTCAAAGCATACACTGTTATAAACGTTTTAGATAGAAAGTACAGTATAATACATACATAAACCAGTAACACAGGTGTTTATTATGACTATCAAAATCAAACCAAACCCATTGCCATATCCAACTCATAGCGACCCTTCCTTGGGTTTCCCAGGTGGTATCATTAGGGAGCTCTGGTAGCATAGTGCCTAAGGCACTTGACTGCTAACCAGAAGGCTGGCGGCTCAAACCCACGAGCCACTCCTTGGAAGGAAGATGGGGCAATCTACTTCCGTAGTGATACTGCCTCGGAAACCCAAGGAGGGGTCGCTATGAGTCGGGTCTGACTCGACGGCACATAACAACAACAACACAACATCATTACGGAAGTAGTTGCCCAACCTTCCTTCCGAGTGGCTGGTGGGTTTGAATCATTATCCTTCTGGTTAGCAGTCAAGTGCCTTCGGCACTACGCTACCAGAGCTCCTATTATGACTATCAAGACATATGTGTTGTTGTTTTTATTACGTGCTGTCCAGTGAGACCCGACTCATAGCAATCCCTCCTTGGGTTTCCGAGGCAGTATCACTATGGAAGTAGACTGCCCAACCTTCCGAGTGGCTAGTGGGTTTGAACCATTATCCTTCTGGTTAGCAGTCAAGTGCCTTAGGCACTACGCTACCAGAGCTCCTAAGACATATGTAATATAGGTTATATATAGGTACTCTACCATTATAGGCCTGGCAGCTCAATCGCTTTGTGTACAACAGACACGAAATAGACATGTTGTTGTACTGGGAAGCTGTTGCATTCACTTCATCCCGTTCTCCGATAAAGATTTCTGAAGTATATTATAACCTTATGAAATGACAGACATCTATGTGGTGGGATGTTGCCCAGACATTATGCTGTGCACGACTGTACTTTGTTATCCCTAAATTACTCCAAATTTCTGAAATTTGCCATTCGTCTGCGTATTTTGTAACTACCCCCAAGGATAAATTTTTTTAATGACTTTGCTTTCAAAAAATGCAATTAATTTAATAAAATCCTAACACAAAACTGCCATCCTATCTTTAAAACTTCAGCCCAGTCCCCATTCCCCATGAGTCTATGGATATGTGTACCATTTCAGCTAACTGCTCATATAAACAGTTACCAAATTTATAATTCTGGGTCTTTCTAGAAGATCTTAATTATTCTTGCAGTTTTATCAGCATGCCATTTTAAGTCTTAATTTCATTCACCTTGCTGCCTTTACATTAATCACTGAGTTACTACATTAAAAAAAAAAGGTGTTAGTAGTAGTATGATATTGGATTCATTAAGCAAAAATAAATTTCAACATTACACCTCATGCAGATAAATGGCACAGGGCTTTAAATCATTTAAAACCTTAAAACCATTAAAAATCCTGGCAGCTTAATAGTCTAGATTTCAGACTGCAACTAGATACTCATCAATTTTGGATTTGCCAATGACACAATATCGCCTCTACTATATATATATATACACACACACACACACACACATATATATGTATATTGTTGTTGTTATGTGCCATGGAGTCAGACCTGACTCATAGCAACCCTTCCTTGAATTTCCAAGGCGGTATCACTACGGAAGATTGCCCAACCTTCCTTCCGAGGAATGGCTGGTGGGTTTGAACCACCAGCCTTCTGGTTAGCAGTCAAGTGCCTTAGGCACTATGCTACCAGAGCTCACACACACACACACACACACACACACAATTTATTTCTAGTATCCTTTTTCTTTTTCCAAAGTTATTTGAAAAATTTTTCCCTTCCTCCTTTGTTTTAAGTGTCTGTATTTTTCTCTTTAAAGAGTTGATTTAAATTGTTAATACTTAACTACGGAATCTGTATACATTAATTTTTTATCTGTCATTTAACCTAGCTCTAGGAAAAAAAAAAATCAGTGTGAAGCTTCATGTGTTTGTACTTCCCCTTGGCTAAGTAGAGTATGCAATAGATAACAATGTATGAAGAGCTTTGCCTCTTGAGGGCAATGATTTATCTTAAAGAACCAAACACCACAGAAAAAAAAAAGGTGTTTGCAAAAGTTTTATTTTAAAGGATCAAAAATAAATATCACACATATACACAAGAGAAAATCCACTGATATTTATGTTTGCCGATGCACAGCGTTTCAATACATGGCACCTTCATCTTCTTTATTTAGAAAATAAACTGTTATTGGTCCATAACTGGTATGCACAGTCTCTGTGACTCTTGCAAACAGCCAGGAGCCAACTCCATACAATAAAGTGGGAATTCCTAGAAAACAAATGAATATGTCATTTATAATACTTTAATACTTGCTAATCATGCACCCATAATTTGTCATAGTATAAATCACATGACACTCTTTAGCAATATCAACCAATTACAAAGTTATAAAAATATCACTCAACACTGACTATGATTATCTAAGAGTTCAACTTCATCTGTGTTCACGGAACATGGTGACAGCTGTGACAACTTAGAGATTTTTAAAACTAAAGGCTGATATCAATTTTAATTCAAAGAACTTTACAAGCACTAATTCATTACTTCCAAATAACTGAATTCTATATTCTTTTCACAAATAAGCAAACAGAAGAATATTCATTAATTCAGTTGTGGATGCTTTTGATTTTAGCCTTGAGCTTTAGTTACTAGGTCAACTATACCTTTCTTTAAGTTAGACAGTAACACTGCTGGCTTAAACAATTTTTGTACATCTTAAAAGAAACTAGGTCACATAGTTGTTTTTCAAAACCTAGGGGAAAACTTAACTCCAAGGAAGATTTCAGTGTAACAGGCAGGATAAGAAATACTCTAAATTAGTATTTTTATAACTGATTTGACTACAATCTTATTTTAACATATTTGAGGTAGGTAAATAGACTCCAACAGCATGTTTCTTCTTTGGAATATTTCATTTGATAAGATTTTTCTTATACTGGAGATTATAGTAGTTGCCATTTGTAATACATGAAGTTAAACACATATGACTCAGATATCTAAACTCTTATATGAATATGCTATTATATTAGACACAAAACAAACTTTCACAATTCTGACCTTTTAAAGGGACTTATTTAAAATAAGTAATTATTACAACATTAAACACGTATGTGTAGAATCACATGAATCAGTAAGTATATGCTCTACATAAGTATTCAATTTTTGCCTCGTGGGAGTTGCTCAGAAAGTAACAATTTAAAAGCATAGCTGTACAGTTGGAAAATCATTCTTTCTAGTTACTAGAGAAATTAAAACCTGCTCAGAACTAGTCATACTGCTAATTTTTTCTTACTTTTCTGCAACAGTGTATTTGCTGTGTTATGCTCTTTTTGAGCACATATGTGCACTGAACTACTTTGTGCTTATTTCCTGAAGCAGCATTCCCATCACAGTGATGCCAGAAATTAATCAAGAGAGCTACCACTAGCTGGCAATGAGATAAAGGGGGGAAAAGTTGTCAATTTAGGCTTATACTTATTTTTAGGAATATCCTGGGTCACAGTTTACACTATTACAGGCTTCCCTGAAACTCCTATGAAATCTTGCCAGCATATAGCCTTCTTTCCCCTGGAAGTACCCTAAAGAATCTCTAAATTTTTCAATGGAATGTCACAGAAAACCCCACAAAAATTAGAATTGTAAGGCTACTTATAAACCATTTAACCGAAAAGAAAACTAATAAAAGCAATGGCATTAGGGTGGGGAGACAAGGAAGAACAAGAGCAAAATTAGCAGAAGAGGAGAGAGGAGGAGAATTGAGAGCAGTTTTAGTGAAAAATAAATTTAAAATATGGTGTCACAATTCAAAAAGCTGAAAACTGAAGCACAAGAAAAAAATGGGTTTAAGAAGCAATTATTAATGTTCTAAGTATACTGATTATAAAATATGTATTTTTAAACCAATGCTAAGGATATAAATTTAAGGACTGGCTGGTGACACCGAGGATTGTTTTGCAATATTTATCAGTTTTCACTTAAAACACTGATACTTAAAAAAAATTCATACTTTTGAAAAATCACACAAACAAATAGCTAGATTTGTAAGCTAAAATGGGAGAGCTGATCAAATATTACTTGCTTAATAATAACTATATTATTTCTTTTTCAGAAAAACTAGGAATCACTATCAGTAACACTGTTGGCAGTGGATGGAGTCCTGAGATAGGAGTCAGAAATTCTATATTCTTTTTTTTCCCGCCATCTATTTATTTAATTGAGGCAGACTAAATGAAAAGATTTGCCAACTACATAATTTATACATTAAAAAAAAAAAAACCCATAATCTTCTTTATCCGTAGCACATATGCTTTTTAACATGTATAAAATCCCATGAAAAATTAATTTTTTTCCAGACTGAAACATATCATAACATTAAAATTATTTTGAAAGTCAGTTCTATGCATACTAATTTGAGTCAGCTAAACAGTAGGTAAACCACTGTCAAATTAAGCACGTAAAAAAAAATTAGAACTTCCTTAACAAATCTCTGATTACCCATTCATTCCAATGGTGAGTTGTTTTTCCTAAATCTCAATCTACTTCCCAGCAGGATACCCAGTCTGATGAACCATCAGCAAAATGTCACTTTCTTTTGAAGGGAAGGCAGAGGAGAAAGGGAACAAATGGGCAAAACAAATCTTTATTATTTTCAAAATGGAAAAATGAATTACTCTGATAATTACTAGTTTGGAAGGGAAGAAGAGGGATAAAATCCCAAATAGTCTTATTAACATAGTATGTACTTGATCCAGAGGAGCACTGTATTTCATAGAGCAGCAAAGGATCCTCTCATCTAATTCACATTCTCTACTTTCAGACAGGAAATAAACAGTAAAAATAAACTGGTGAATACAACAACCTTTAAAAAGTCCAGGAAAAAAAATCCCTTTATTGGTATAAACCAATTTGTATGAAAATACTCATGAAAGTTTTCCTTAAAACTCTTATTCCCATTTAAGCAGGATTTTTTTAATTTCCAAAGGCATAGAGTTAGTTATCATAAAGACCATTAAATCACTCTTTCCTTCTTTTCCATATAAAAAACTACAACTCTTGTTTCTCTCTTCAAAAGGTTGTACTTTTCTATGTGGGGCACGTTCTGGTTATCCCATCTTCCCTCATACACACCCCCAACTTAATATCTATATATAAAAGAGAAGCCCCTAGTCATTAAGATGTTCTTGAAATGTTTGGTTTTAAATGGTGACAGCTTTTTCAAAAAACACATTTGGTTCATGGTTTATCAATACCCTGTGTTTTATTTTTCATAATCTATTACTCCTTACATTTGGAAAGAATAACTTCGGCTTTTCTGCAAATGCTAAAATAAACATGTTCTTCTTGAGTCTAGTCATCACTCCAGTCTGTCCAAAGCCTTTTGAATTAGATTTTCTAAGTCATAGCATCCCTCAACTCCACGTCAATCTCAAAATTAGTTATGCTCTATATAGTGCACCAGGCAAATGATAACAGACATTTTTAAAAGATTACACATTGCTAAATAATTTTCACCATATGGGGGTTGAACCCGAGACAATCCCAATGGAGCACTGGCTCAAAAACTCATGACTGACATATATGAGTTATTAGAAACAAAAATGCACATACCACATTTAAATTTGATCCGCTATCAGATTATGTAATAACAATAGTATAGCTGCACAGGGATGTATATTTCATTTTTTTTTTTTTTTTTAAAAAGCTGCTTAGGTAGCATGTTCCAGTCCCCACTGGATTTATTTATATCAATAAACAGTTTCAAAACATTTCCAGGCCTATTTTTCACTGACCTATAAATGATACACCCTGGTAAAATGTTCATGCTTCTTTTGTCATTAAGCAAAAAGAAAATAAATATCCTGCAAGTGTAACTACTCTCAGAATATTTCCATGAAAACATACAAATACTAAAGAGGGAGAGTCTTTTAGGTATCTTTTGGGCCTAGCATCTGAAGAACCTAAAGTGTCTGGTGAAAACCTTTACTGCTTTTAGTAAAACCAACTTGCTGAGATCTCATATAAAGAAAACAAAGACATTTAAACCCACAAGGTGATGATCAGGGGAACAATCCTGTCATGCAGCAATACATTTCTTAACTTCAGAGCCACTTTCCAGGGGGGATGTTTGCTTGCAAGCCCCTTCTTACTCTCCAATGCAAGAGCCTCTCCTGCTAACAGGAAGTGAGAGTGGAATGCCCCTCCCCAGAAGTGATGTAGGGTGGTCTCTCAGGGCAGGTCTGTGGATAAACACCAGTTTGGAGGGCATGGGGCAGGGGCAGTTCAGGAGTCAACAATTTAACCCAAACATTTAATAGGGAGAGGAGGACCGGAAGATACAAAAGACCGAAGTCAAAGCCCAGTCCTGCGAGGCTGACACAGTGGATAGGGGCGGGGGATGCAGTGTCTGGGAAGCCGAATGGCACTGTGCGGAGTGTGACAGTAGAGCTGCTTGGGGCCGGGACGCCGCTCACCCGCGCAACGGTGCCTATCCTTGGACTAGGGTCTCGGCCTCGGTGACATAACGTTTGTCAGCGTGCTTTGTAAACGGTGGGCGTTACTCGATGCGTCGTGGGCCTCAAGGCGGGTCGTGCTTCATTGAGGCGGAAACGGCCCTCTCCTCCGCGCCGGGTGGGAGCTCAGGGCCGCCCGGCCCGGGCCACTCACCGAGGTTGATGACCTTGAGCGCGGTGAAGAACCGGTTCTGCCCGGCCAGGTCCTGCCAGGGAGCCTTGGAGCAGTGGTACTTAATGAAGGGAAAACAGCCAGTGCGCAGGACGTGGTAGTTGGCGCCCTGCACGGGCCAGTTGAAGTGCGAGAGGCCGAACTGGTCGTTACGGACGGCGCTGTAGGGTACGCAGAAGGAGGTCCAGTGCGGCAGGCGCCGCTGCAGCAGATGCCGCGTCAGCACCTCCGAGGCGCGGGGCTTCGGGCCGGAGGCGGAGCCCGAAACCCAGCGCCCGCACAGCAGCAGTCGGAGCACGGCCTCGTGGACCTTCCGCAGGGCCTCCATGGCTGGTCTCCCCTGCGTCCCCGCCCCTCCACCGCGCCCGAGTCAGACTAGTACCCCAGGCCGCCGCTGGGCGCGCGCCGCTGGGGGCGGGGCCGCCGCAGCCGGCGCTTGTGCCCGCCCCCTGGGGCGAGCGGCGGGAACGTCCAACGTCCCCCGCGCCGGTGCGCTAGCGCCCCCGGAGCCCCCGGCGGGTGCTCACAGAGGGCTGGCCGCGTCCAGCCGAGTGATTTGGCGGGCACACCGGGAGGCGGGAAGAGTGACCAGCCCAGGGAGTGAAGGGCACCCGCGGAGAGGAAAAAGTTAAATTGTCACAAATGATCTCATGTGGTCATTAATAACTCTGGGGCGGAGGGAAGGTCCATGGAGGTCGTATCAGCGTGGTTATTAGGAAAATTAAGATTTACAACAAATAACTTTGTTGCTTTTAACTCTTATGGCAACAAAGGTAAATACTATTACATATGCAATCCTGCAATAATAGTAATAGCAATAATTTACAGATACACACGCAATCTGACCAGGTGTGGGAAGGTGAATGGGACTACACCCACGAATGTATAAAGGTTTGACAGAGGATGTTTCCACATATGTAATGTATATATATGCAATGTGATTTAAAAAAAAAAAATGTAACTTAACCTCCGTAGTAAGTGATAGAAATATAACCTAGATTTCTCTCTTCAAATCCTGTCTGCCTCCAGCAAAATCCTTAGTTCTTGGTGATATGGTGTGTCTTCACTTGAGAAGGTCTTTGTTTCTACACTTGAAGTGGCCTCAGATAAATGCACAGGTGAAGTGTATTAAAAACCAAGTCTCCTGATTTGTGCTAGCTGGTAAATTCGGGGATCATCCTTGTGTTTATTTCTTGACTGTTTGCTGTTTAGAATTGTCCAAGATATTCCAAAATTAGAAAATTATTTAAAAAGGAGTAAGTCCCCTGTCCCTCCAGCAGGAGAAGCCCAGAAGCACCACCACCTGGCTGCAAGCCTTTGTTCCCAACACTCAGTCACCCCATATCAATGTACATTTTGAAGCCTCTTGAGGTGATAGCTTACATATACCTGCTTTCTAAAGAAAGAAATCCTTTTATTTGCCCTAAACTCATCTTAGACAAACCATATACTACATTAGATGATGTATATGGAAAGCACTGTATGTAAATGAGATAATTTTGTGTAAGCATCTTTTAAAAATAATTTTTGTGGTTGGAACCTCAAGGGGGGTATTGTTGTTTGTTGTTGTTATATGCCGTTGAGTCAGCCCCGACTCATAGCGACCTCTCCTTGGGTTTCCGAGGTAGTATCACTATGGAAGTAGATAGTATAGGATAAAAAAAGAACTCAATTCACTGCCTTTGGGTCTAACCCGACTCATAGCGACCCCCTCCTTGGGTTTCTGAGGCGGTATCACTACGGAAGTAGATTGCCCAACCTTCCTTCCAAGGAGTGGCTGATGGGTTTGAACCACCAGCCTTCTGGTTAGCAATCAAATCTTATTTATTTATTTAAAAATAGTATTTGTATTTTTTTGGGGAAAGTACACAGCAAAACAGGCTTCCATTCAACAATTTCCACCCGAATTAGTCACCAACGTTGACTCTTCACATTGTTTCAACATTCTCATTGTTTCCATTCTAGTTGTTCCCTTTAGTCTCTGATTTTTTGATTTATTCAGCAAGCATTTTTTGAGCATCTCTGTCCCAAATCTTGAGAGGCCTTTTAGTTATGCAAAGAATTTGAAACTTAATAGGAGTTTCTAGCAGTCATTTAAAAAAGATTTTAGGTGGAGGCATATATAGTTAGGTTTGTGCAGGTTGGCAGGAAGGAGGTTAAGACAGGAGGCAGAGATTCAGCATTATTTTCAGATTATAAATAAAAAGCATTAGAGTTCTTTTTCAAACAAAACCTGTCACAGAACCCCAACATATAAAGTAGATTAAAACTTGTGTTTTAGTACTAAACATTTGTTAGATCAAGTTTTTAGTATTAACTTTGTTGTTGTTGTTGTTATGTGCCGTCGAGTCAGCCCCGACTCATAGCGACCCCTCCTTGGGTTTTCGAGGCAGTATCACTACGGAA